ATTTTTCTAGCGTTATAAATGATAAAAATAAATACAGATAAAAAAGAAATAATTTATGGTTGATAAAGAATTTGATTGAAGTTGATGAAGAAAAAAAATAAAAAAAAATAATTAAAATAAGAATTTTATAAGACTTCTGAGTATATGATGTTTTTTGTTATATTTCCTGTTGAAATTAAAATCATAAGATGATTCGGGTTCCCAGTTCGAGAAAATGCCACGTATTATTGGCCATGTGAAAAGCACTTTGAACGAAGATCTACGCCAACGTACTTGAATGTTTGACCTTGCACTTTGTTTATGGTAATGGCAAAAGAAACTTTAACCGGGAATTGAAGCCGTTTGAAAGAAAACGGCAAGTCAGAGGGAATCAAGGGAATTCTTGGAATAAATGCAATTTCTCCTTTCGCTGGCCCTGTAAGAATTACGGCTTCTATAATATTATTTCGCAACAATTTTATTTGTAATCTTGTACTGCTACATAAGTTCGGCGGTTGAAGATTACGTAATAATGTAATTGGAGCACCAATTTTTAATTTTAGCTTATGAGGAGGAAATCCCGAAGGAGAAAAAGAATTGAGAAATTCTTGTGGATAATGAATAGCATCATCTGTTGATGTAACTGTATCAATAGATAGATATTCACGTGAGTGTCCATTGAATTTTAGAAGGATGATATCATTAATTTTTCCTGCTGTTACATTTCTCGGAGAGATAATAGCTCTTTCACATAACCTCTGATAAAATTTATTGGACAGATTAAAAATGTCAAAGTGTAAAAAAATCTAAGGCCTTCAAGCTTTCAAATGAAGTAGGACCTTGTACATAATTTAGTAACAATCTTAAATGAAAGCACTCTCTTTGATTTGGGTGAATCGTGTAAATTCTATCAATGGCTGTGTCCATTTTTATTCCTGGCCAACCTGGAACATCTTTTCCCCGTCTTCTCTTTAACCAGCCTCTGCTATCATCCCAGGTATAATAAGAAGGAACTTCATGAAAGAACCGTGTTTTCGCAAAATCATCATGTGAACACAGTTCAAAAAATGCAGTTAGTGTTGTTTTTCTTGGATTTTCAATAACTTGATGAAGATTATTAGCATTAAAGAAAACACGCTGTCCATTTTCTAGATGAACAGCCAAGTGCTGAACTGTCGGATCTCTATCATAGATTTCAAAATTGAAAATTCTCCAAAACGCTTCAGAAGTACATATGTATCGACCATTCAAATAATTTGTAATCTCATCGTTTTCACGATTAACAGAAAAAGTTTTTTGCTCAGAGGCGCAAAATGTATAAATACGGCATTGCTGATAAAGATAAAAATAAAATAATACCCAGGAAAAAAAGTGTTAAAACACATTATTTAAAAAAAAATATTTGAAAAATGCAATTGAAATTGGGAAAAAATTTAACTAGAAATGATGAAATCATTGTTTTCCAAAAAATCAACGGTAGACAGTAGATTATCAAACATGCTATGTATTTGTTTAGATCATGTGGTTCTCAAACTTTTTTTTGTTCACGGCACACTATTATACATCATAAGTTTTCGCGGCACACTCATGCACTGGACAACAAAAACTTTGGCTACGCCAAATCTAGTAGGGTTAAAACCGTGCAGTGTACACTATACAGTTTATCTACAAATATATCTGCACAATTAATTGATATTTAACAGTCACTGTTTTACATAATTATGTGTGACAGGGTCTGGCACCAGATATTATTATTTTAAACTCCGGAAATGTCTTCCTTAAGCACTTTTTCTTTTAATAAAATCGTATCTTGACAATCGTTATTTTCAAATTCGTTACGGCTCAGCCTTCTCTACTATTTCAATAATTAATGCCGGAGTTCCACAGGATGGTATACTATCCTCTATTTTATTTAATATTTACGTCTCCGACAAACCCACGATTGCTGATACTTTAGTAGCAGATTATGCAGACGACAAGGTCATTTTATCAATGCACGAAAACCAGAAATTGCCTCAGCTACTTTCCAACTCCATCTTAACTTAATGGCTGATTAGTACAAAAAACGGAGAGTCAAAATAAATAGCACTAAATCAGTACACATAACCTTCAGGCCGAAACTAGGGCATTGCCCTAATGTTTTCATAAATAATACTCCAATCCCTACATCTAACTTGGTCAAATATTTAGGTCTCCATCTCGACAAACGCTTAACATGGAATAATCATTTAAAACTAAAAGATTTCTACTAAATTCACGCTCACGTATGCTCCAAGTACTTTATTCAAACGGATCCACAAATTTAAAGACAAAAATTATAATATATAAATCTCTTTTAAAACCTATATGGACTTACGGATTACAACTATGGGGAGCAGCCAATAATTCAAATACTAACAAAATTCAAACATTCCAAAATATTTCACTCCGTAAAATCACAAAGGCCCCTTTTTTTTCTCGAATCATACTCTTCATACCGACCTTTATATAAAAACAATTAATGAAGAAGCCAAAACTTTCTACAATAGATTTCATCTCAAACTTTCGAACCAATATAATCCACTCGTCAAAAAATCTTTTTATACCAACCCTTCCTGGAAATCCTCAACGTAAGTTAAAAAGAACATGGTGCGTGACCTTTAATTAACAATTTTACTATTATTTTTTTTTATTCCTATTCTTATTTTATTTATATTTCTTAATAATTCTTCCTCTTTTCCATAAAAAAAAAGCACTCCAATATTTAATATATATTTTTAATATTTAGTTATTTAATTAATATACAATAGCTAAAGTGTCACTAATGGGTGGCTTCTTTAATCACTTCTTCCATGTCTGTTTTTTGTTATTTTTTTTTGTTTTTATCTTACATTGCACGCATATGCTTATTGTACCAATAAATTTTACAGATTGCATATTATCAAATAAAATTAAGAAAAAAAAATATATTATATTAGAGTTATTAGCAGGGCTCATAACATCTAGCATTTGCATAGTTTTATTGAGAGGTCCTAGAGGTAACTATGTGAGCTATAAATTTGGTTCAGATAACCAAGAAGCTACATACGAAATTTTATGTTCCATATTTTTGCATATTTCGGAGTATAAGTGCTATTTTGATTTTTTTTGCTTTTTTGCTTATATTTGCGATTTTTTTAAATATTTCAAAGGTAATATGAACATTTATTCTATATAATTATAAAATTAAATATTGCTAATTACTTATGTAATTTTTTATTTTATTTTTTATGTGATATTAATATAGTAATCTATTATTTAAATTATTATTTTGGATAACATATACAACATATTTTTATTATTATTTATTAATTTATAATTTAATTTAATAGGAACCCAAATATCATAATTGAAAATAGGTCAAATATAATGTAATTATCTTTTCAGTATACTTTTATAATAAAATTAAAATAAAAATATTTATTCTCAAAAGAAACTTTTTTTGAAAAATATAACAATTTTTAAAAATACATAACTTTGTAATTAAAATAATAAAAAACTTTTTTTAAAAAACTTAATTCTGTAAAAATTGAAATTTTTTTTTTTAATTAATTTTCAAATGATCTAAAACTAAAGTAGTCACCTGGGGTAAAATATTTCCAGACTCCACTTTGAATTACTGTTTATCATTTGATATTGCAATGATAATGATAAAAATCATGCTATCATATTAATAAACTAATCAAAAATGATATCACGGCGGTGGAGGTGCATATGTTCTTACCTCTATAAGAATAAACGTTTTTAACATGTATGAGGTATTAAAATACCTCGTGGTGACTAACGAAGGGTTAAACAAATGTTTAATCATAACTTGTCGTTTTTGAAAAATAGCTGCTTATATTTTTATTCGTTAGTTTTGACTTACGCACAACGCACGAATTTATATGTAAAAGTCAATTATAATTGCTCATATGATTTTCGTGTTTATCACACTCGCAAATCATCATAAAATAATAAAAAATAAAAATATTATACTTAAATTATTTATTATAACTAGTTAAAAAATATTAGTAGTTTGAACTTAAAAGTCAATGAAAGGCCGAAAACAATTCAAGTGTCATATTGACGCGATGAGATATGAATAGAATAAATATAATGATGTCTATTGACATCACTATAATTGGTTGTGTAACACATTTAAAAGTTGTGTATATGTGAGTACTGCCACCTCTAATACTATTTCATATACTAATTTCAAATGCAATTGCTACTATACTATAAACTGTAATAGTCTTACATGCAGAATAGGAAAGGGAATTAGAATCGCTTACACATACGTTATCTTTCTCATATTTATAGAAAATGTATTGTTAATCGGCCGTACAAATACGATGGTGGTCCGGGAGAAATTGAATCGAGTATTCTCGGATTGTTATCTTCCGACGACCCAAACTAATGATTTTATTTTTAGATTACAAACAATAAAAATAATTTATATATATAACCTACAAATATCAACGACCTGAAGTATTATTTTACATTATTAGAACTTGATCGTGTTTTAAATTGTATTTTAATTCAGTCATTTAAAATGATACCTGTTATGTTTTACAATTGAAAGTGCTTACGCTGCTTTTATGCACGCCACGCCACTGCTGTTTTATCAATAGGTATTTTCAAATATCAGACATTTTTCGCGGCACAGTAGTGTGCCGCAGCACACTAGTTGAGAACCACTGGTTTAGATATAATATACGTGATACAAGCGAATTCATCATTACATAACAGTTCAATCGGAAAGCGTAAAGCATAATTAAGGTATTAATATACTTAAGGTTAATATAAACTGAAAATTTCAATTAGCTATAACTTTGAAACGAAGTTCGTACCTATTTCACCAACATTTTTTTGATCCAAAAATGTATGTCCTTTAAAAAAAAAGAGATGCCTAATAATGTAGTAATGTTCCGAATTATAATATATACCATGGATATACCATAGAGTTCGTGGTTATAACAGTTTGATAACAAATGATAATTAAAAAAGCCGATATTTGATAAAAGTATCTAATTTTAATAAAATAATTCTCTAAGGTTTTGTTTGTAATCAATGTGATTGAACTATATTATTTATAAATCGTGAAAAAACTAGTATATAAGTAACAATTTCTTGCTTTAAATTTAAAATATTGATATTACGTTGGTGACGTTATTGAAGCCAGATCAAGTGTTATTAAACACGGGTTTAAAATTTAACGATAATAAACTAGTTTTCTACTATGTAACGATTAGCCAAATCATTCAAATTGGTTAAGATCGCGCACTACTCAACAAAAAATGGCCAAGAAAAATGTTCGTAACGTAATTAAGAAAAATGAATCGTCAAGCGTACTGATCAACGCTCCAAATGCTTCAGAGTACAAGACGCCAACTGCGTTCATTCAAACCGAAGCCAACAAGGATCCCGAACTCATACCGCATTGCCTTAGTTCGTTTTGCTACTTAGGCTTGTTTGTATGGCTCATGTTGGACAAAAATTATAATCTATTAATTGATCGCAACTCGTTGATTATTATTGTTATTTGTTACATGATCGAATTTGCCAAGTACGCCTGTCATTCTTATTTAGTCAGTAGAATATCAAACCAAATCAAACCTAAGATCAACCCAATATTTTGGATATTTCAATTTGTTGCCTCCACAGTATTAGCTGTGGGTGTAGCATATTTCTTTTCGATTCTGTTTGGAGCGCCAGTTACTACTAAACAAGAACAAACGCTTATGTTCTCGTTACTTTTAACAGCGGTCATAATTACACCAACTGCTGTACAACTTGGGTCAAATATACTGCCATTATTATTGACCGATTGTTTAGAAACCGAATTTGCTAGTACTATTGAATCATATGAAAGGAATAATTTCCGAGTAACAATTTTAGGAGCATTTATTGGTGCAGTTGTTATACCTTTTGACTGGGAAACCGAATGGCAACGTTGGCCAATTCCATGTTCTGTTGGTTTAATAGGAGGACATTTGTTAATTAATGTTTATGAAATAGTATGTTGGCAATTTAAATCGTTGAAGAAAACATTTTCTTTTAAGAAAATTAAATTTTGATTAAATATTTATATTCAGTACGTGTTAGATGAATGACCAAACTTATTTTTATGTTAAAAAAGAAGAGTGAAATGCTAAAATTGCACAAAATTGTAAATATAAGTGTATTAAATACAAAAAATAAAAGTTGGTAAATTCGGAATTTTAATTTCTTCAGTGAAAATATTTCCACTATTTTCATTTAATAAAAAGATTTTTGAAAACAAAAAATAATTTAAGTATTGATTATTTATTTTTAACTCTTTTATATCTGTCATATTTGTAAACTTTTTTAATGTTATTGAAGTATTTTAATTTTAGAATTGTTGTTCATTTAACATTTAATCAATTTTTCATAGCATTTGTACTACTACTTTATATTGGACGTAGATATGTATTGTTTCAATTTGTAATATAAATGGAAATAAATAATTTATATTATATAAAATTACCAAAGATGCTAATAATATGTTTATATATACATTGAATATCCTTGTAATGTGCAATGTGCAAAACTATTACTAATATTTGAAAATTGGTACAAATACAAAACAAGTATTGTATTATAAATTGAATTTATACTTTATACAATAAAAAATTTATGTATAGTTTTTTCTTTATTTAGACTTTTAAATAAATTATAATAAAGAAATTATAACTATTTACTGCAGTGTGTCATCAATTATTTAGAATACACAATTTTTACTTAAAATATTATTTCTGTGAAACTGTGACTACTATCTTTCTTTGTAGTTAAATTCCAATTTAAAATTCAAGAACTGTACGAATGCTGAAAATAAAAATGATATTTAAATTATTTATTGAAAATTATAGATAAACCATTTCAAATAATTTACCTTTTTCCTACATGCAATAATTCAAATCCTTCATTAATAGATGTAAATGGGAGTTTATGGCTAATAAATTCATCTAACATAAGATTTTTATCCAAGTATTTCAAAACTAATTCAGGGATACTTTCTTTACTTTTCCATCCTTTAAATTTTAATAGATTTAGAATATATTTAGAAAAAAAAAAATGTATATCTTAAATAACCTCCAAATGCAGTTCCTTTCCATGTACGTCCAGTAATGAGCTGGAAAGGCCGCGTAGAAATTTCTTGCCCTGCACTAGCCACTCCAATAATTACAGATGTCCCCCATCCTTTATGACAAGCTTCTAAAGCAGCTCTCTATAAGAAAATATTTGTTAACATAAAAATATTAGTAAATAAAATTTTAGGATTTATTTGCCATTGTTTTAACATTCCCAATACATTCAAATGTATAATCCAGTCCACCATTGGTCATCTCAATGAGAATATCTTGGATCGGTTTATCAAAATTTGATGGATTTACAAAATCTGTAGCACCGAATAATTTAGCTAAAACAATAAATACAAGAACAATGATTAATATGATTTTTTTATTATTTACATAATATATATTATGATACACACCTAGTTCAAATTTACTTTCATTTATATCTACACCAATGATTTTCTTAGCACCAGCTGCTTTACAACCCATAATCACAGCTAACCCTACAGCTCCTAAGCCAAACACAGCACATGTTGAATCAGTTTCTACTTTAGCAGTATTTAGAGCAGCACCAAATCCAGTTGATACACCACATCCTAAAAGACAAATTTTGTCAAAAGCAGCAGCAGGATCAACCTGCATAAAAAATTAAATTTACATTAACTTAAAATAATTCTAATTAAAACAAAATTAATACATACAGATGAGATGATAAGATAACATAATATTATACAGTAGATCACTTAAAAAATGCAAATAATTCTGATATATATTTTACTTTATAACTAAAATAATACAGGATAAATGAATATGGGAATCTTAATGTTTACCCACCTAAATTACAATTATACTAATATCCTTCTATAATCTTTATTATTTAATAACTATTATTAAATAAACAAATATAACTCTACAATGTACACAAAATGTAACAAAATAATTGTTTTCTTAGTCTTAAAAATAAATTTATATTACAAATTATCAAGTTATGTCTTTAGTCAATTTGAAAATAAATAAGTCACTACATTTTAATTAAAAATAAATGTATAATACTGCTATACAGATTATATTCGTACATCCATAACAAAGAAATTTAATTGAATTATTTTATAATTTTATCAAGAAGTAAATTTGTTTTCATTTTTAATAAAAATTACTTTATAGCGTTTAAATTTATAATAAGATAACAACAGGGCCGTATTCAGTGCAGGGCAAGAGGCATGAGCCAGGAATGCAAATTTCAATACTACTTATGTAATATTTTTCACGATATATGAAAAAGATGTAGTTAAAACAATTTCATTTGATAATGTCATTGATAAATTTGCCTCTTTAAAAACAAGAAAAGTACCATTTGTAATATTGTATTAAAATAAATTTTACACCGCACTAGGACCAGAATCTGAGGAAAATATCAAGATGATAGACTTCTTAAAATCAACTAATTTATATAACTCAATTTAAAAATTAAGTATACCTTTCTATTGTTTTTAGTTATTATAATACAATATCATAATGTAACATACACCTAATGTAATTAACTCTTGTGCCACCATAGCTGTAACTAATGGCCATAGATGCTGGGTTGTATGTTATTACTAGATCATTAAAAAAAAAAAAATTTAAAATCATCTAATACAATTTTAAAACAAAAACATTTAAATTATAAGAAAATTATATGTTTTTATAGTGTATTGATTGTTTATACTTTAAAGTAATATAAATAGTTATTAAAGTTTATTAGTAATTATTACCTTGTATACTGTTTTTATATATCTCAAATGATTTTTGTAAAAAAAATGCAAATTTCCTATTGTGGGGGGAGGGGGCAAATACAGTGATTCTCCAGAAGCACCACCAGGCCTCAATATGGTCCTGAATATCAGATTACTTTTTTTTTTTTTAAATAATTTTATTATTATATCATACAATATATCAACACATGATTGCGATATCGTTACCTATAGTATATAATAATTAATGCACCAACCTTACACAATGAAATATCTGCTACTACTGTATATTCACTGAAAGTAGAACATCCCATGAAATGGTATAATGATTGACCTTTGCAAGTGAAACGAGATGTACCATCGGGCATTTTTCCTTGACCTTGGGTAACTCTAATTTTACTGCATACATTTGTTTTAGGAGACAAACAAAATTTACAGTCTCCACATTGTGGAATGTACAATGGAATAACATGGTCCCCTAAAAAAATTTATTACGATAAATTTCATATAATAATGTCCAATAAAAATGGTTTCATACAGACCTGGTTGAAATTCTTCAACATTTGGTCCAACACTTTCCACAATGCCGGCTCCTTCATGTCCTAAAATACATGGAAAATTTCCCTCAGGATCATTACCACCTAAGGTGTATGCATCTGTATGACAAATAGCTGTAGCAAGAATTTTCACCCTAACTTCATTTTCTTTGGGAGGTTCTACTTCAATATCTTCAAGAACCAAAGGTTTTTTTGCCTCCCAAGCAATAGCCGCCTTGCATTTAATTACCTAAATAATTTCATTGAAACTTAAAAAAATAATATTAGAGTTAATATTTTCTTTAGCTTTCAAACCTTTCCTATAGTATCTGCCATAGTACTCTTGTGTAGTAATAGTTTATTCAAAATCTTATTGGTTCAATGTTGAGTTGCACAATAAATACAACAAAAATAGGTCTACAATAATTATACTTTTAACTGACGAGGACAATAGTTAAATAATGTGATTCAGAATAATATTATAAGTATACACACACACACACACATATATATATATATAATTATACGTATGATCACGGAATATAATAATGGTATAATCATGTATCATTCATCAATTATTTCAAAAAACTCTTATCAAAAATAATATCAACAGGCCATCCACGGTTAGTGCAACAACAGTGTATGGTACCGTAATAATAATTTATCAAATCTCCATTATTATATTTCAAATGAATTTTGTAGTACAAGAACTATTGTTGTGGGACAATATTTCTTCTATTAAAAAGGCTTAATTATGAACATCGCACTACAATAACAGTGAAATGTGATACAAATAGAGTAAAATAGAATCACGATTACGCCTTGAAATATTACCAAAACACACTATATTTAAAACACGTAATACCAATAAATATTATTATGTATTATTATATATTATATACATTAACTAGTCAAAATATTTTTATCAGTACAAAACGACGTCAAGTGTCGTTAGTCTATAGCGATCGATCGCGGATGGAGAGAAAGATATTATTCAATAAGACATTATGATTTCTCAGTCCCTCCTCGTAATTTTTATTTGCCGAATCCTCCACGACAACCAGGACTGCTCTCAATCGGTTCGTCTTTCCATTGACTCGGGGTTTTGGCTACAATTGATAGTGCGTGAACTCCGTTTTTAAGCTCGTCCGATAACGTCTCATTGACCAGCCTATGTCTCTGCAAAATGACATTTGGTTAAAGGAAGATGACCATTTCGTATGCTAATGGGCTTTTAACGCGCGCGCGTTACGTATCTAGACGCTATCTACCTTAATTAACGGCAAACCATCAAATTCGTTGGAGACGATAACGACTTTAAAATGCGTCTCTGAATTTTTGGGTACGTTGTGCATATATGATTCGTTAACAAGTTGTAACACTTTTGGGTCGAAGCGATTTTGTAACTTTGTACGGATACAGTTTTCCACACACTTTGACGCCGCCGACATCATGATCCGTATACGAATATATATATATATAAATATATATAATACTTATTCCAAATAATCAACCGCAACAGCGAGTACGGTCTCTGGCTCAACGGTGGATATGTCGTGCGTTGGACAGCTGAGGAACGAACTATCACCTGAGTAACAAATAATTGGTGTGACTGAAAGAGTGACAAGGATTGAGACTTCAAGTATTGATTTTAAGCAGTACCTATTGCGATAAAATATTTCGCAGACACGGACTGAGTCCGTGCTCGTTGTAATGTTATCAAAGAAAAAAACAATTAGCAGCTGATACCGGATTCACTCGGTTACTGATTCTTTGGTTAGGGTTTAAATACCATACCGAGTTGAGTACGCGGACTATATTTGGACGTATTCTGACGAACGGTTCTTCGTACGAAATTTTTTTTATGATCTACATCGAGTTGGATACTAAACTACTAATATTATTAAAACTATTACAACTTTAACAGACCTCAGTATTCCATCGGTTAAAGTTATAAAATAAATTATTTTAAATAAAAAACATTCAAATTTAAATAATATTTTTTGGCGGCATACTGTGACAGGAGCACCGATGAGACATAATCTATGTCCAATATTACCTGATATTATACATAATCTATGTCTAATATTACTTGTCTTATTCTATTCACGTTTGTTAAATATTGTCATTCTTAAAAATTATATTTTTTATAATTCCTGTCCAGTTTTTGTTTTATGATTTGTGATAGTTATTTGTTCGTTGTATTGTTGGCCTTTTGGATTTGTATATATTTTATGTTTATTTTTATGTTTGGTATTTCATAGATCCTTTTTTTAGGCTTTTTTTGTTGGTAGTGTTGAATAGTATTTTAGTTTTGGTTTATATTTAGGGATTATCTTTTTACTGTTTGATGTTTTGTTGATTAATTGTTCTTCTGGTTCCAATTGAACCATTGGTTTTCCAATATGAAAAACTTTTAAAATTCTCGAAATTGATTGTACCGCTGTGATATTAGATGTATTTTTTTTTAATTTTTTTTTTAAGGCGAATCAAACGTTTATTCAATTAGAAAAATGGGAAACCACAGCATACTTTGCACCTAACTTCCGGCGTTAGGTCAAAGTCGAGAAGCTATGACTCGCTTGTTAGGTTAACTACATGTTTTCATGATAGACTTTGATTTAATAACCGAAACGATTTACAGGAATTTTTCAAAAAGTCAAACACGTATTCGTGTGTGGTGCCGGAGATGGCGTGCCACATTACATGAACTACGACAAACACGTTAAACTAGGAGACGTGGTCATTTCTCATTGCGGGAACAACCAAAAGTATGTGTACTAATTGTAATGCACACAGCGTTTGGTGCTTTTATTACAAATATACACGTTACCGATTCGTGTGTGACGACCAATAATTTCATCGAAGTATTATTATTAAATTTAGGGCCGTCTACATGTATTGTGAGAACGTCGTCGTCGAAAATGGAAATATCAAATTCTATTGCCGCTAGTACAGTCCGAAAGTATTCGATATTCGGACAGCTGCGATGAAATTGCAAACGGAAGTAAATCTAGTATTCGGACAGGGTCTGTTTGGGGTCAGATTGTTGTCGGATGTATGTGATTCATATGAGCTTGACTTGTATGACGTGTATTTCTCAACCGTACGAAGTGGTAAAGATTAAATTGATTTTCAATATTGATGAAAATAGTAAACAATTATATTTCAATGATCTCGTATGAAACAAAAGCATTTACAGTATATGTGATGTTGGTTAGTCACGCAAGCTCCTGTATAGGTGACCATAAGTATATGCGTTTTTAACAACGATATGGCTAAAAACCACGTAGGTATTCCGAGAGCTAGCATAAAGTTACTCGAGTGTTACTTTACCATCATGACCCACTATCAGCCGATGGTCCTTACAGTTGCCGAGGTGTATATATTAACAAAAAAAAAAAAAAAAAAAATAAACTAAAATAAAAATAAAAACTGTTGTAACTTTTAGTTTGAGTTTGCATTTAGGATTTTTCGGAACGAAAAAATTATACTGCGCATTCTCTCTCCAGTTCTATGATGGTTTGATCGCGTGTTGGAACAAACCTAATGTTAGTCAAGTAAAAAAATCGATTAAATTTCATGATGTGCAAGAATCTCTTAACGTGTTTATCGGTTATACTTATTCAATAATAAAATTAATAGAAAATTTAGAAGAAATGAGTGAAGTATGTGTATGGTCTGATGTTGAACTTTTTATACATAGCAAACGACTATTGTCAGGAACGGCTGCTCTATACCTACGTTCGGAAAATGGAATCAAGTCATGGAATCAACTAAGGTAATATTTGATGAATAAGTTTTTCATAATCATTTAACTTCTACTGACGTAGGTACATAGACAGCTTACAGTCAGAGTAAAAAAATTATGACGAAATTCATCAACAGTATTTATTCTAAATGTTGGAAATAGCAAAACAAGGAGATGTGTCTGAAGATTTACTATTGGATTATGTCATTGCTGGTATTCAGGATAGTGAAGTAAATAAGTCTTTGCTTTATGGTACTATAACAATAAATTAATTTAAAATAAAACTACAGTTGTATGTTGTAAGTCAAGGATGCAAATCTCTGAATCTGGAATATTTAGAGTTTCTAATAGTGCTGTAAGTAATCATAACACAAGTAATATGCAACGGAACTTGATGTCAGACATTTCAAACACAGTAATTAGGTGTTAAAAACACATCAACATAGGGAATGCCCAGTCTTGAATAAAGGTCCTAATTGCTTTGCATGCAGATCTTTTGGCCACAAATCAACAGAATGTCCAAATAAGGAAACTCAAATAAGGCACACGAACAATTATGAAAAACCAAGTTAATCAGGTGAGTGCTGTGAATACTAATGAGCGAATATTTAAAGAAATTAATGTCTTAGGAATCAAGACGTTGGCTCTTATAGATACTGGCTGTGATTTAAATTTATGTTGGTAATCATTAGTTAAAGGTATTGATACTATCAATACAGGAGTTAGTCTAAATGGACTAGCTGGGACTATGTTTTATACCAAGCAAAAATGTATGACTGAATTAGAAGTTGATAATGTTACTTAAACAGTTGAAGTGTACTCTGCCCTCAACGAGGACATAATGTGTGATTTTATAATAGGTAGAACACTATTTCAAACCAACGTTGAACTAAAAATCAGTTCTGGAGTGATCTAAGTTAATAAAATAGCTATTGAAACAAATGAGGTTGACATAGGATCTAGAAAACATTATACAGTTATAATGTACCATGTATCATAGAAACTACACCAATAAAAACTTAAATTATAGTCAATGATGAAGAACCCATCTATCAGCAGCCAAGGCGTTTATCACCAAAAGAAAAAGCTGTCGTAGAAAGTCAAGTAGCAGAATGGATTGAAGAAGATATTATATGACCTAATTGTTCGGATTATGCTAGCCCAATTATAATTGTACCAAAAAAAGATGGTACATTTCGGGTATGTATCGTAATTTATCGTCGATTGAACAGTAAAATTATTAAGGATCGTTACTCTTTACCTCTCATAGAAGACAAGTTACATAAACTACAAGTATCTAAAATATTTACCACGTTTGATCTAAAGAACGGTTTTTTTTCATATAGCTATGGAAGAAGAAAGTATTAAATACACGTCTCTTATTAAACCGGATGCACAATATGCATTTTTGAAAACACCTTTTGGATTGTGTAACGCTCCACCTGTATTTCAACGTTTTATAACTATGTATTCAGAGACATAATACGGAAAGGATATTTGTTGGTTTACATGGATGATTTAATTATAATTTCAAGCACAGTTGAAGAGAATATTGAACGACTAGAGATGGTTTTAAGAACTTCAGCTAACCATGATTTAAAAATTAACTGGAAGAAATGTAAATTACTTAAAATTCAAATTGACTACTTGGGATACCAAACTGAACAAAATAAGTTGAGTCCATCACCGTTAAAGTTAGCTGCTATGGTAAAATATTCGAGATTGCAAAATGCAAAGCATAAACAAAGCTTTTTAAGACTTACTGGATATTTTCGTAAATTTATTAAGGACTATGTCTTAATTGCTCGTTCATTGAGTGAAATGCTCAAGAAGGAGACACCATATGTAATTGAACCTCAACAGGAAAGTGCATTTAATATGCTAAAGAAAAAATTAACAGAGGCACCTGTATTAGGAATTTTTAATCAGCATTCAGTTTCTAAAGTAGGTACACACTGATACCAGTATGTAACGGTTTGGTGCTATACTTCTACGGAAAGATTGTGATAATCTATTGCACCTTATATACTTTATGAGCAAGAACACTATACAAGCACAGCTATTATATCATAGATATGAGTGAGAAGTTTTAGCAATTGTTATAGCTAAGAAAAAGTTTAGATCCTATTTATTAGGACTACACTTCAAAATAGTGATTGATTGTTAATCATTTACTAAAACATTAGAAAAAAGGGAACTCGCAACCCATTGGACATTGTTAAGCGAATTTAACTATTGAGCATCGAGCTGGGTTATGTAATGGCACATGTAGATACGTTGAACCGGTATTCAATATGTATGACTATCATTAGTGAATTTATAGCCCAATTATAAAGAGTACAGCAGGATGATATTGAAGTAAAAACCTTAACATCAGAAGCAAGGATGAAAGGATCTGGTTCATATATCGTAGAAAATTTACAGTATAGTCTTGACTACGGTGGAAACAACACGTTTGTTTGTTTCCCTCCGTTATCGCTTTCATTTTTGTTCTCTACTTAGTATTGTACTAGGTACTTACTACTAACTTACTTACTACTAACTACTTATACTAAATAAGTTGAGTGTTAATTAGTATTGTGGAAGTCCTATCGTTACTTAACCAGCTATACACGTTGCCGTCGTTATCGCTGTCTGTACATCCAAGGTACATCGTTCTATTTCACTTGATTATCGCTACGTCGTTGGCCCCCTGTCGGGCCATTTCAGGTACTACTATTCTTATCTTTCATTCTGAATTAAACACTTACGATACCGACTCAGCTATATATCATCAGTTGTATCACCGCCAGCATAACATCGTTCTTCAGTCCACAACCGATTATAATATATTACGATTATTCATATTAGTCGTTTTATATTTTACTCTTATCATTATTTTAATTAGATTCGATATGATGATACGACGAAGTAATAGGATCAATATTTTTCTTTCGATATTTACTCGGATATAGGTGA